ATATTCAAAATACTCCCGATATTAATCCAATATTTCCAAAAACATTCTTTCTCGTAATGCCACCCAAACTCAAAACCTCATTAGACCTCACCAATACCCACCCAAAAATACACCAATAAATTATGCCAAAAATATATTCTACCAATAACCATGCATACAAATAATCTTCCATCAAATTACCTAACCATGCATACAAACCCATTTACACCAAATATTCCATAGACCTCATCCTTATTAATTATCTAGCAAATTTCCCTTTCATATTCTATCCATATGCTTTTAAATACCAAATAAATCCAATCGAAATACCATCCATATTACACTACTAATTAAACATTTATTCAATGCTCTATATAATTTCTTTATAATATATATATATATAATAAATTTTAAATATATATATATATAAAGAAATATAATTTAAATAATATAAAATAACTATAAATTATAAATTATATGTTTTACTATAAATATATTTTTTAATATTTCGGTTTGCTTCTAATCCACTTCTTTCTTCTTTCAAAGCGATGCGAAACCAAACCTCATTAACACGTCCAAGAACAATCAAAGTTCCGGCTTCAGCAATGCAAACATATATTTAGTTATTCGTCGCATACGTGTTTTAATGCCTTCATTAGGGCTAAAACAATCGAAGCGGCCGAAACAATAATTAATAAAGCATACTGATCTATCAGGTGGTCAAGACGATAATCATAACAAGTGTCAGACCATATTCAATCAAGACATATGTACAATATGTTTAATTAATACTTATAGAGGCTTTTAATTGACCGGGAATTCGGGAAGGCTCGGCATGGAAAGGCTTAGTGATACCACAACTGTGATTTGGATATTGGAGCCTTGTTGTTAATACAATATTCAAACACCACGACCACTACACAAGTTTGCCATGCCATGCACATATTCCTTATGAATCTTTTCATAGATGGGCACCACTCTATTTTTCACGAATCGAGTGTGTTGCAATTGCACTGTGGCAATAAGGACAACGATGTGCCATCTCATTCATCAAGGCCTGACAAAAGGAGGCCTAGGATGCTCTTGTTTCTCAGATCCATGCGTAGATCAGGGCATTCAAAAAAGGGTTCAGTGGTGGTCTTGGTTGGATTATATAAATTGAAGGCACACTCGAGAATTTATGTGATCTTTCAATCGACAAATGTCCACGAAAGTATGAGCACAATGTGAGCAAGTCGGTGTCCCGTTGGCTGCGTTGCTTAGTGGATTACAAGAGTCTTCAAAATCGAAAGGGATATTGTGATATGTCCGCGTGTATCTCTTGAGAAGCCCTCCCTATAGAAATGCCTGATGACTCTCAGGGTATTCGAGATCTGAGCTGTTTGGATATGCTGGGATTGTGGCGCGCAAATCAGGATGGTCAGATTGCATGGCGTCGATTGAAAGAACCGTGCAACGGTGGCGAAAGAATCCATGAATCGACTTTATTGCTTCTGCAAGTAATCCATAGGAGGTCAAGTTGTAAATGATGGAAGCAAACAACAATGGTTTCCCGAAGTAGGTAAACAGGGGATCTGGCCATGAAGCGGTGATGATTATTGATCACGTCAATGAATCCAGTGCAGACTTTGGCGGTTATTCCCATTGTATGGATGCCATAAGAGATTGTGGACATTGTCTGTAAAATTTGAGGCATATTTCCAATGGATTATGTTTATGCAAGAGCCGTCGCTTCAGAATATGGAAATTCTAATTCAAATTCTTCTCAGAATAATGCTATTTTCCCAAACTCTACAACCAATGACAACCTCCAGATATGACATCTTGGTATCCAAAAGGATTAGGACATGTTAACCAACAAATAGGGCAGGCCTTTGCCACGAATCTCATCGTGCTTCGTGGCTTGCATCAAGCTGCAGGTCATTTGTGGCTCAAGCATCTTCCGCTGACGGAATATGGCGGGACTGTACGTCGGTCATTTGTAGTGGCCGCACTGTTCAAACCTTTCTTCGGGTGATTGAAGCGTGCCGGTGATAATGCACTGCACGTGCCACCGTGATCAGCCACGAGCTTGTGAAGAGCTGGAAAGAATCACTCCGATCAGGGCACACTCTATACATTCTGGGGAGATGGAGTGTATTCAAACACACCTCCATGTCAGCCGTTTCCAAGCTCAATGTGAGCATGCACCAGTACTCCGCGTACATATTGAACATTAGTCGTGCCCATGCACAAAAAAGTGCTGTTCATGGTAAGGACCACATTCTCGCCAGCCACTAGTAGGAGAATGGGTTACGTAAACAGCTTGTAGCTTAGCTAGTCTTCGTTTTGTACAAACCTTCGCACCAGACTGAGAGACCGCTTGGAAGATGAGTTCTTCCACTTTTGACATGACACTTTTTGCAACACACCACGTGATGCTCTTTTTGAACGCATGAGTTGAGATATTAATCCACCAACTCTGGACCAGTCCTGGATAGTTTTTTTCTTTGTGGAACTGTCCTTCCTTGTCCTACAAAAGTTCACATGTTCTATCCTGTTCCTCCACTAAAGATTTTGAGGTCGGCTCCCGATCTTGCAGGTTGGTAAAATTTGGTAAATGGCTACCCAGGTTGCTACCTTGTCGAACGCATGAGTTCCAACCTATCAATAATTCATCCAGTCGGGGCCTCAGTGGATGATGGTGATTAGTAAAGGCACCATTTTCAGTTCGGTTTGGCCCAGTGCTTTCGCTTGCTCGATCGCCTGAAAACCTCTCGGTGCGCCCTGATTTCCTCTGAACCCACGTTTTTGGGGGGTGCGAGTTGAGGTCCTCTCGTCGATCTCATCGCCTAATCCCAAACACACTTCTCTTCTTCGGCGTGGTTCTAAACCATTCAGCACAAATCACCTTTCACAAGCTCTCCCCCTCTCTGACGCAAATGGTCCGTCCCACCTGCTGCATTTCCAAAGTGCAGGCGGAAGGAGCTTTTGGTGCGAACTTTAAGGTCAGATCCAAGCCGAGAGTTGCACGTTCTACATTCGTCTGGTGTTGGGAAATTGGTCAGGCATGCACATGAAACGGATTAAGCATCTTCGTTGGCATGTCGATGGTGAGTTGCAATACCCAACTTTAAAGCGCGAGATTGCTGAACCCAACATGAAGCAGCAAAACAGCCTCTTAATGTCATAGCCCTCAAAAAGAGTGTATGTGTGTTTGGCAATGCTTTCAGAGTATGTAGATAGCACAAACCCCAAGAAACTTGGCTGCCATCGCTAGTAGGGCGGAGGCCATCGCTAGTAGGTTGGAGGCCAT